GAGAAGTCCTGCAGTAGTGGCTGATAGAGAAACGGCTTGGTGGTCTCAGAAGTGGGGCTTTTGTTTGGGATCTCTTTGAGGTCTTTCATTTGGAGCTGTAAAAGAAATCAGAAGTGTTTGGGTGTTAATGCTAACCTGCAGTTTCTCCTGAGTGTTTGTTGTTTTGATAAGAGCTCTTGCTAAAAAACACGATGTTTGATCAAAACTACTTGATTGAATTCACAAGGCAGAAACAAATGTTGGTTGTGTTCTTCAGCCAGCCTCGTGTTTGTAGTCCACAACTCTTGGGCTGTGGTCCTGGGATCCCTGGAATGCAAGGAAACAAATTCTAGGACACCTGACCGGCTTTTAATCCTGTCAGATTAGCATTTCAAATAAATTACATTAATGCTGCATATGCATTTGCATTAATACTACAAGTATCCATATAAGATGTAATTTAGGCATGCTCATAATTTGTGAAAGGTGAAATCTGGAGTACAGCCATGGTGGGAGCAGGGAGTAGTTTGAAGGGAGCCAGTAACAGGGTGAAGCATGGTCTGGTCCTGTTTGCTCTGTTTACCTACAATAGAAATTTGGAAAATTTCCAAATGCCAGTTGTTTTAAGATTTGATTATATAGCAGTGATGTACTGGGGAGTACCTGAGGTGCTCCAGTAATTGTTATGAGGTTATCTAGATCAAAAGTTACCTGTGCAGGTGAGTGGGAGATGCAGGACCCAGTCTTCATTCCCTTTAGGACCAAGAAGTGTCATAGCTAGACTACAATATGTGTGTTCTAAACCCCAGATGTGACATTCTTAGAATGGGTGTACTGTGTGTCTGTCCTTCCGTTTGCAATGACAAATGAAGTTTCTAGCCCATACAGATAAATAAATTTTATGGGACAGTGTGAACTACGTAATAGTGAAAAGGGTTTGCCAGCTTAGCTGTGTTTTTCTAGAAAGCAGCTTTTTGCCTTTGTCATTTTATGCTCCTGATCAAAGGAAGTCTACTTTAGCCCCAGCCTTGCATCCATTCAGTTCACATCTCATAGGGTGGCATCCTAGGAATAATCCCAGGGCTTTGGGTGCATAATTTTTTTCAGATGATAAAATAAAGCTCATGAGGATCCTGTGACGATTTTTGCTGGATATAGAATGGGTCAGCTGTGATATAACAGGGCAAGGCTTCTGTTCAGTGTAGTGTTCTACTCTCCCTTGTGTAGTTATCGCTTTCTTCTCCAAAGGAGCTGCTTTTTGAATGAGACTCAGTTGGAAACGTGCTGGCAGGGTGGTACATCATTGGCCAAAGTGAAGCAACAGTAATAAATTGCAGTGATTGTTATGTACAGACTTGACACTTAAGCTCACAGAAGTTTGCCACTGATGTGTTCTGCCTCTATTGTGGGTAAAGGGAGTTACACGTGTTTTACATGAAGCTGCTCTGTCTTTTTTCCCTGTCTGCATTTTGATGAAGCTTAAAAGGTTTAAAGTTAATAAAAGACCTGACTATAGGAAGTACATGCCATTCAAGAACCCACAGCCAGTGTGGATAGAGAATCTCTTCTAAAATAGGTTTTGAAAATAGGTGTCTTTATTGTCTTTAATTGCCTAACTGGCCTGGGCTGCATTCAGTCATTTCTTGGTGAGTTGAGAGTTGCTCTAGTGTATGGCGATTTCTTGAGTGTGTGCAAGCATTGAAATCTGTTAGCTTTCCCTTCAAAAAGCTTTCACAGGAAAAAAGGAATAATAGATACAGGAAAGAGAATCAGATTTGTTAACAGAAGAGTTTTGGGACTTCAAGGGTGTTTTTGGATTTCCTGAGCATTCTGATCTGCTGTGCATTATCCACACATAATTTTGAGAAGGTCTGGGGCTGACAGAGGAATGATACTCCCAGAGCAGTAGTGTATTCATTAATAACACAGTGACCTTTGCTCATTCCTGTCCCCCATCCCAAGTGTCAGTTGTGGTAGGATAAAAGCTCAGCCAGGCCGGTTAAAGGGATTTCTTTAAAGGCCTGAGCTGTACCATTTGAAATCAGTGAGAGGAACAACAAAAAAAAGGTGTGTGTGGAAGTGACCATTTGCTACCAGGCTGTTTCCATCTTGGGGTTGCTGTTACGTTAGAAGCACCCGGTCTGGATAAGAAGGGAACTTTTTAGGGGGAAAATTTTGGCCCACTCAGTTTTTACTGTGTAGTCATTCAGAGATGCCTTAGTATGCAGAGAGCACATTTGCTCAACAAGCTGGCATCATCTTCCCAAACATAGCCCAAAAGTTGCCTTAAGTAGAGTGTTGGTGCCATGAAACAAGCACCTGTGAAGTCTGCTGAGGAACTGAATGGAAACCATGGCTTCTGGCTATCGTTTGGACCAGCTTAATGTGTTCTGGAAAAAAATATTTCACACGTCATATCACACCGGCTGAAAAAATAGCGAGCATCAGCAGTGCTGTAACACAGAGTAAAGGACTCTCAGCAGGTGTTAACGTGCAGAGGCACTGAGCATTATGGTAACACCTGTGTTTGTTTAAATCCAGCCAAAACAATTTCCTCTCCAGTTGTAGAGGAGGATTAAAAGAAAAAAAAATCTCCCTAACTTCCAGTAGTAGCAGACATTCCTGTAAAACAATTTGCATAGTATTTCCCATGGTGCACTCTGGCTGCACTGGGTTTTTTTTTCCTTTAAACCCTTTTAGTCTGGGGACACCTTCAGTAACTTCAGTGCTTCCCGACCATCTCTTTGTCCTTTGCCAGCATTTGCCAGGCCCGAGCAGTTGCAGATGGTGTGCTCTCTAAATGCTTTCCTTAATTGAATGAAAAATAAAGCCTCTTGTAAAATATTACCAATTTAGATGTGACTTATGGGGCACATATGATGCTTATTTTTTCAATTACATGAAAACTTGGCGAGGTTAAACATAGGAAGCCAAGTGTTCTGTGAAGCCAGTAGAGATTTCTGGGTTTTTAGGTGATTTTGCTTTAAGTTATTATATAGCAGGAGGAGGTGAAGGAAGTCAGCAGCTAAATTGTGTTTTTCCAGCATGTATTTTACTCAGTGGACCCTTGATGCTCATTTTATGACTAATATATACTGTACTATATGCATTTCTTGTTGTCACCAGAGATAACATTAAGTAAACTATCCCCTTAAGAAAAACAGCTTTTCTTGGCAAGTGGAATATGACTCAAGGAGCCAGCACTGGAGACATACGGTGCTGTGAATGAGTGCTGTGTGTTACTCTACTGGATCTGGGTCCAGGCACTATTTATACTGCAGCATATTCAGCACCAGATTGTTAAATCTTAATACTGAAACAGTGCATCATTGAAATGTTTTTGTTCTGTTTATGTCCCATTTTCAAGCATTGGATACCGAGCAACACTTACTAACTTTTTGTTTCGTTTGGACAATATCTCTCTTTGCCAAAAGCTTTCTAATCTGCTCTTGAAGTATTAGCCTGTCTGTACCCGTATGTTACAGTGAAACTGTGCCACTGAGGATGAACTAGGTCACTTCCAGCTTCTTTCAGTATGTGGTGACAGAATGCCTTGCAAAGCAGTACGTCGGTGGTAAATGCAAAGATTTAAGTGCTACAGAAAAGGAGTTGTGCTAAAATTATTTCCTCTTCAATCTGTGTAGGAATGGGGAAAAATCCTCTATAGCAGGTACTTCATGGGCTCCTTGTGTTCTGTTACTGTCTCTGGGAGAGGCTTTGTTTCACTGTTTCAGTGTGATGTTTATTTCATGATCATTTTTGGGAGATCAGGATAAAGGGTTTTTGCCATTTACTGCAGTTCAGCTTGTTCCAGAGCTGGTGAAGGGCTGAGAGTAGAAAGTGAGGAGGAGATGGCTGAAGTTTCTTGGCATCACAACATCCTTCCAGATACCCAAGAGGAGTTCTTGGCGTGCCTGTTATCTCAGAAGAAGCAGTCTTCTCATGTATTGGTGTATTACTTTTTTTTCTGGCAGTTGAATTTATGGATGTCTTTTCAAAGATCAAACAGTATATAAAGAAACCTCAGAAGGCATCAGTTTGAAAGGGAGGATGGTGTCTTGTAGGGCTGAGTTGAGGAAAGTTAAGTGAGCAGAACAGTGAGGCAGTGGGAACACAATGAAGGAGGGAATAAAAGCTGTAGTGGCAATTGTGCAGAACAAGGCTGAACTGCTTTGCTGTCATGTAAGATGGCACTGTGGCTTTCTCTGTTTGGTGTCTTCCTGGAAGTTGTTCCTCAGATTAGTCATTGTTTTTGGTGTGGGTGGGCCCTCTGCAATTGTCTAAACAGAAATAATACCTCTGCACCAAATGGTTTACCATCCAAGTTTACAGTCTTAGTGACAAGCTTATCCAGAAGAGGTGATGATCCCTATTAAAGAATGAACAGAAGTAGAAATAGAACTTGCAGCATTCTGCCCTGCCTCCAAAAAGCTATTTTGGATCTGTGGTCAGCAGCTTGCAGTTGTTCAGTTCTTTTTTTTTTTTTTTTTTTTTCCCCACAAAGAAAAGCAACAGTCTGCATAGTGCAACTTGTATCTGGGAGTGAATTCTTCCTATTTCGTGGGTTTCCAGTGGCATTCATCCACACTGGGAATCCTACCATGCTTAGATTGTAGCAGTGCTGAAAGCCCACACGTAGGAATTTTCCTGTTCGAGTCAAAAGTAATGCATTTATTTACTGAAAAGTTTTTGTAGGCTGCAAAATCTGGACTAGAGAGTACTTAAAGCTTATTCTAACCTTAAGAACTAGGCTTTAGAGCTGTGATGAAAGATGTGAAGGAAGTCTCCTGTGTTTCCTTGAAGTAATTTAAGAGTCAGGAACATGTCAACAACTGTCTGCTAAAAATTTTGAATCTATTCCTGCTCTTCCCCACTGTTTGCCTCAGGAGTCAGTAGAATACATCTTTCTGGGCAAGACTGCAATAAACCTCAAGGCAGATCTTGGGAACAATCAACCTTGCTGAAGGGTTGAATAAATGGCTGATAAAATATAAAGTACGGATTTTTTGTTTTCTTTTCAGGAATAATCAAGCTTGGGAGGTGGAATCCCCTCCCTCTCAGTTATGTGACTGATGCACCAGATGCGACAGTAGCCGACATGCTACAAGATGTCTATCATGTTGTGACATTGAAAATCCAATTACAAAGGTGGGTGTTTCTGAACATCTGTCCTTCCCTATTCTCTGAGCTGCTCTGTTGGTTACAGCATTACTACAGAGATTAGCACATCCTGTCTTCATTAATTTCTGGGCTTTTGATGAAATGAAAAGAAAATGGAGAGAAGGGTGGTCACCTGGCAGCTTTTTGGTGCATTTTCTAAGTGATATTGTATGTTTTGTGAAGTAACAATATGGTAACAGAGAGGGGAAGGGCAGAAACCCAATCAAGTAAAGATACGGGGCTTTTAGAGACAGACCTTTCTACAGTCCATAATTCAATGGATTCTTAAGTTCTCATTTTATCAAATAATAAACGCCTTGCCTTTTTCTAGGGGCTGCAGGATGTGAAAATCCACGTCTTCTGCAGCCAGTTTCTGAATGTGGAGGAGGGGAGCTTTTTTTTTACTTTTCTTTTTTTTCTCCGGTGGTCTTTCCAGCAAAAAGAAGACAAGGAAGGAGCGTCACTGCAGCTCCATTTGGCATTTGGAAGATACTTTCCTTCCCTGAGGGCTAGTTCTGATTAGCAAAGCAAAAGCTCCCAACACTTACTTACCCTCTTTTCCTCCCACTCTTCTCTCCTTTTTTTTTCTTCTTTCTCTTTCTTGGCCTTTTAAAGAGTTCTCAAATGTAAGGTCCCTGGCAGTGTATGGCATACTCCAGAGCTGCAGATAAGCCTACATTGTATGGCCAGAACACGACAGAGGAAAAAGTAAAAAATAACAGACAGTCTTGAATAATTTGCTGACAATTTTTTGAAGCTTTGGCTTGAACAGAAGAGGGGGCCCACAGGGATATGTGCATGTCCTTTGGTGACAGGTACATAGCCTCCAACTGTTCAGTTCAATTTAGAATTTGGAAGTAGTTGATCGTTCACTGACATTAAACTTCCAAACAGCAACATTTCTTTCTTGTTGAATTTCTCATGGTGCTTGAGTTTTCTGATTTCCATGAACAGGTCTTTCCTTGGTTTTATATATGGTTAAAATTTTTCAGCTGGGCTACATCTCTGCTATGTAGTTGTAAAAGAGTGTCTAGACCCTATAGCTACTATAAAATGAGTGTAATAACTCATTTCCTCAGAAGTGTGAGCTACTGGTAGTTCATGTAGTCTGTTGTCCCATTTGTATTAGCAAAAGGTATGAACCTGAGATTAAGATCCCATTCTTTATCTTCAAAGTTCCTGAATGCCTGGATGTCACATAAATAAAAGATAGTCCATGACTTTAAAGATGATCACTGACTAGTGGAACTCCTCAAGCACAATTGAAAGTTCAGCTCTGAGGGAAGAGCCAGGCTGTTAGGGCAGAAGGCAGAACCACCTTCTGGGGCTGTTGAAGAGCATGCATTAAGGCTCTGCAGCAGAAATGACAGGGACAAGCTTCTCCCACCTTTTTGATGTGCTTCTTGGGTCTGTCCCCATGCATGTAGACACAAACCATAAGCTTGTTAAATTAAAAGAGGCACAAGTCATATGAAGTCAAAAGCTCCACTACATGTGCAGTTCTTGTGGAATGAAAGTGAGAATGAACTGCATGTGACAGATGTTGGGCATATGGCTTAATGTGTTTCTGAAAGGCTCTTGGATACTTCAGTGGTAAGGGCAGTATAAGAAACTGTACAAAATGAAACTAGTTTTTCAAAATCTTGCCTCCACACAATGAGGGCCCTCAATGTTCAGGGATTTTGTTAGTGGCAGTGCAGCATATATGTTTATTTTTCTACCCCAGCAGGAGTATCTTTGTTGGAGATGATGGCTTTACTCAGCCATTTCTGGGGCTCGCTTTATGCAGTTTCTTTGCTCTCCATCAGCCCCAGCAGGAATGGTCATGCACACATATGCCATAGGAGGATCAGCAGCTGCATGTTGAGCTGCATATCTTCTGGTAATCATGCTTGGTGGGAGAGGGATAGAAGGGAGAAACACCTTGATGGGCTGGCCCAGCAGGAGACTCCAGGGTTGTGCTTGTTACTTAAAGGTCTATAGCACTTGCACACAGAAAGTGAGTATCCGTGAAGGTGATGTTTCTGTCTGCTTTTTGCTTTCTGTTTTAACAGTTGTTCAAAGTTGGAAGACTTGCCAGCAGAGCAGTGGAACCATGCCACAGTTCGCAATGCCTTAAAGGAACTGCTCAAAGAGATGAATCAGAGCACATTAGCCAAAGAATGCCCTCTCTCACAGGTCAGTGCTTTCAGCAGGCTTAGGGAAGGAAAGATTTGCAAGAACTAAAGCTCATACTTATTCTGTGAAGAGCATACACTAAACAATTCCATAAATACCAAATAAATTTCTTGGGTTTTTTAGAAAGGAGAAATTCTAATTAATATTTTAAATAGTATCTTTACACTATGTTTTCTTAGTGGATTTCTAGGTTAAAATTATTAATTAATTGATTGATTGGTTTTTCATTGTGATGTAAATCCTTTATTTAGATTTTTATCTGAACCTATTGCAGTAGGACTAATGATTCTCAAATGCATGATTCGAGTGGCTTCTTCCCACTAGCAGAGGTTTGCTTTCCCCCCTGACCCATGGGTGGCTCTCATCAGCCTGCAACCATGATAAAAAGTATGCAGTTTTAACAGTTGTGCCCCAATTTCTAGGAAACAGCAACAAAAAAATGTATATGCAATTATGTTAAAAAAAGAACAAAAACTCAGCCTCATTCTCCATGACTGCTTTTTAAGCAGCAGTAATGTCGTGTCTAAGACACAGGTTCCTACAGATGTCACGAGCTCTATTTGTACTTCAGATTGTCATAATGAGACATTAATAAAATTTTTATGACTTACTTCTGCTTGCCTCTCAGAAAAAACAGAGTAACACTTTTAGCACTCAGACCAGGTAACTTTGCTAGGCATGAAAAATACATTGCCTTTAAAAATATGTACTAGAATCAGGTTAATCTGTCCATTGTATCTTTTAAAAGTCAAAACATGGGTAATTCCTGCTTGCTAAAAATCCGTTGCTTTGCTTGCTCATATCCAACATCTTTTCTCCTGTGATTGTCTGTCTTCCATTGCACTGTATGTTCATCCTGCAATTCACAATCCAAAGCCTCCATGAACCAAAAGAATAATCTCTATTCACCACAAATTTGCCTCGCTGTGTTACAATTGCATCTCCAGAGAAAGCACAGAGGTGAAATGCAGAGCTGGTAGGAATCACATTCTTCACCTTCTTTAGCCATGCGAGATCTGCAGAGCTAACAGGAATGGAAGGGTTTTGTAAGGAAAAGCTGTGGAACTTGCTGATTTAGTAAAGGAGTAACAGTCACTGTAGATATGCAGAGTGTGGAATACGCATTGAATACGAAAGTGTTTTCCTTTTCACACAGTTTTAAGTGTAATTTCTTTAAATAGAATTATCTGTGGAATCTGGTCAGCTAATGATGATTGCAGCATATGGTTGTCTCTGCCCAGTCTTCTTCAATATCCAGCATAACTAAACTATGCATCATTGCATATGCAGAATTCATTTGTTGTCTGGGTCTGTTTCCTCCCACTTCAGTTTCAAAGCCTACCAGGTGGAAACGCTGCAGTTGGTTTACTCAGTCTGTAGCCTCAGTCTGACATATATTTACAAAATTACTGATGGCAGAAGTGTAGCAGCCAAAATCCTTGCCCCAGTATTTATTTAGTGAACAAAGCTAAGAGATCTTTCTGTAGAAAATTGAGCTTGCTTACTTTTAAGCACAGGTATAAATGACCTTGGGTAGTGACTAATCCTTGAACTGAGACTGCAGAATGCAGCTTGTATCATTATTATTATTGCCATAAAAAGTTTCAGTCTCTTTTGGTTTAGCTCACAAAATGCAGAAGATACAATGGAAGGTTGTATAGAAGCTGTCTATTACCATCATCTGAATATGCCTCTAATACAATTCCTTCTCCCAAATCAGTTTTAAAAAAATATCATGCCAAATGTGAAATGTCATTACAACCCCCTTGTGGTTAATATATTATTGACAGCAGCAAATTGCAGAGTGGTCTCTTAGGAGTCAAACTGCAGAGTAAATGCTGCTGTTTATTAATGTGTTCACAGTGCCTCAAGTACAGGGGTGGAGAGGGGCAGCGTGGGGAGCTCCCGCTCCCACTAGCGATGGGGCTCCGCCTCTGCCTCTCCGTGCCCGAGCTCTCCAGGCAGCCCAGATGGGGATTCTGATTGCTGCTAATGGGAAATGTAATCATTCACTTTGATTTAAAATTGTTCTGTTTTTTTTCTGCTAGGTGTATTACATGTCTGCAGCTTAGCTACCCTTAGCATACGGCTCCTGTTCAAACAAATAAGTCCCAGTTAACCAAGCTGGGGAGAAGAAGGGTAGGTGGGGGGAGTGTGTGTGGCAGAAAGAAATCCAATTATTTCAGCATTTCCATTTTTTCGTAGAGATCTCTGTCTTTCCTGTGACATATAACTCATTTCAGCCCTGACCATGCATTTTGTCTCTTTGCTGGAGCAAGCTTTCTCGGGATGTGAGCGTGTCCCATGTTTTTTCTCCTTGAACTTACTGCACCAGATTTTCTTTGTGTGGATATTTCTTAGCTTCTGGTCTAAGTAGTTTTCATTCCACATGGCTGTCGTGGCCATACACACACCAAACATACCTGCTGCTTTATTCCTTCCTTAAGGATTTTTCCAGAAATATTATGCATTATTTAGAAATTTGCAATTAGTGAGGGATTTTTTCCCCCCACTCTCTTTTAAATGGGTATTTCCTTTCTGCCGACATACCAAGATTCCTAGCAGAAATACCCCTAGTGTTCCTTTACATATAATAGTGAGGATATATGGTTTGAAAGTTGTTATAGTTCTTTCCCCTGCAGAAGATAATCTGTCCTGGGATTTTTTCACCAATGGTTGATTCACTGTTTGATTTTGCTATTTAGTTTAAGCTTTTCTTTCTCAAATAAAGGTTAATGGGTTAATATATTCTGTGATACTTAATAGCCTCATGATTTCAGTAATGTTGATTTCTTGTAGAGGTAGATGATTTGGAGAAGGAAACCCCCCACATCCTCCCACAAAAAAATTAAGAGACCCAAATTGATATGTAGACAGAGTTCAACAATTTCCCCACCCTTCTTTAGTGAGTGGAAATTTAACTGAAGTGATGCAAAAAAACCCCAGCTTAGCTCAACTTTGTTCAAAAACCTTCTTCAGCAGAGGCTATCGCCATGTCAGGCTTTCAGAATTCTATTGCCTGTTAAAATGCTGTGGAGCAAGGGAAGATTTATGGGCAGGGAGTTGCTGCTGACTGCCACAATGCTAGGTTTATGTCTCAAAATATTGATTTTAATTAGAAAATTGAATCTCATTTTTAGAAATTGGAGCTACTACTTAACAAGGCTCTTACTTCATAGCCTTCAAACTCTACTGCAGTGCACCATAGCCCCCTTTGAGTGGAAAAGGTAGAGTGAGAAGGCAGAAGAGCCTGTTCATTGAAGGTGAAATTGCCTGTTGAAGACTGAAAGCTGTCTGTATCTCCCAGTTATCTTAGGCCTCTCAGTTTTGCTCGCATTTTTTAAGTTCCTAAAACTCAAGCATTAGGAACAGGCAGAGTCCTATGATACTGCAGTGAATGGGACAGGGCAGGCAATCCTGCAGAGGGGGGATCAATCTGGAAGAGGGCAGGGATGGTTTGGTTTTTAAAGCATTGTTAAATTCAGTGAGCCAGTGTGTAAGCAGGTTTCCAGAGTTGGCCAAGAGCCTGCAGGAGCCTGTAGGCAGAGCTTGAAGCCATGGTTTGAGCTGTGAGTTCATCCTTGCTCTCTCCTCGGTGCAGAAGCATTGCACAAGGTGCCAGGGCTCTCTGAACTTTGATGGAAGTGCAAGAGAAGGGCATGAGGAAAATAAAATACAGTCTATATAGAAGGTGCATTGGCTCCTATGTGTTGGTGCTGTTAGATTGCATTTCCTTGCTGACAGTGTGCACGTGCTGGGAATGATTTGACCCTGGAAAGGTTCAAAAAGGGACAGAGGAGAGCAAAATATTGTTAAATGAAGTCCTCCTCTGTAGCATGGAGGAAGGGAAGGGAAGGGAAAAATAGAATGGAAGAGCTACCAGTAATGAGGCTGTTTGCTATCCTATGGGCAGAAGCACCCCAGATATAAAATATCCATTTTTTTTATTGGTATCAGGTACTGGAAAACCAGTCTGCAGCTGTCTCTTCAGTCAGCTTGTATGGAGTTGCTTAGGGAGAATTTGCAGAGTAGGGAGGGGTGCTGATATTTCAGTTTTGTTGGGCTTTATTCTGGGTTTTGACTGCTCCATGTTGTAGTATGTGTAGTTCCCTGTGCTCTGAATGGCACTGCTAATTTCTCTTCTGGGTGATTTTTCACACAAGGGCTACTCACACGTTTCTATAAATTATATTAATTTAACTTATTTGCCTAACTGTTGTTCTGCAGCGAGTAGCACGAATGTTCTCCAATTCTTGGCTGTGCGGTCTTGCTGCATTTGGAAGCAGAACAGAGACATCTGAAAAGCATTATTTGGATTATGCATGCTGCAGCATCTAATCTTACCTTTAGGATCTGGTTCCTAAATTGTGCTTGGTGCAGTGAGCTTGTGTTCCCCAGCACGGCACTGCCTGTTGTTATGCAATTAAAGTTTAGCTATTGCAATATTACAAGTACAAAGCAAAGTAGAACTTTCCTTCCAGCCTGAGCTGCAGGTCTCAGTGTAGATTAGTACTACATTTTTTTTTACTTACTTGTGCAAAATAGTTATTATTATTTTGTGATTTAATTCATGGCTGAGCATATAGAGAATAAAATTTTTGTACTTATCAGATGGTTCTTTTGGGTTTAAAGTCACAAATGGATGATCACTATGCACTCACATGTCATTTGCTTTTCCTGGAAAAGATTTCTAATTGTGGAAGATACTTTAAATCACTTTTTGTTTTTCTTTCTATACTTCCAGAGTATGATTTCATCCATTGTAAATAGTACATACTATGCCAATGTGTCAGCAACCAAGTGCCAGGAGTTTGGGAGATGGTACAAAAAGTACAAGAAGATTAAAGGTAAAAATTGATTTTTTTGTTGCTTTCCAAGTTCTTGAAATTCTGCTGACAGTTTGAGATTATTTGCTTTAAATAAAAGTAATAATAAGCAATAATAATATTTGTGAATTTGTCTACAAAGAGGACACAGTCACAGCACATTTGAAATTAAATCTGATACTTTACAAACAAGGCTGGCATGAAAACACAGGACACAAAACATGCTTAAAATATCCCATTTAGCTGTGCTGAAAGATCAACTGTGGTTTGAATTAAGCAAAAACATTTTGGAAAGAAGATGTTGTAGTATCTCAAGATTTAAAAGTTAAATTGCTATGTAGGTTGCCTTAGTTTTGTTTTGCTCCTGAAAGCTAAAAACTTGACTTTTAAGTTACATATGCCCTTGTTCTCTGTTTTCAATACTGCAAAGTACTGGCATTCCTGCTTTGTTTTATCCAGTGGAATCTGGATACAGAGGATTTAATCCCGGTTGTTGGGAGACACTTGTAAATAACAAGGTGCTGCACCCACTGAAGTTAAGAGAAAAGGAGCACATTGCTTGTATTTTTTCTGTAATGAAATTGTATTACTAGGTCTGCAATGCCCAAGGCAGTAAAATTATTCTAAATAAATTCATCCCATTCTCACCACTGGACTGTCTGATCACCTGTCAGTGGTGCACAAAATGATGTGACAAGCATCCATCACGTGTAGTTTGTTCTTTTATTCTCCCTTTCCTTTGACAAGGGGCTTAGATGTGCACCAGACCATTTGTTGTAGTAGGCTTTTGGTTTGTGGGCTTTTTGTTGTTTTTTTTTTTTTAATACACTCATGTGCTTTAAATGCTCAGGAGCTAGAGGATAGTCAAAAGCTTTTTCATAATTCCATGAATTCCATTCCGTTCCATTTCCATAACTACTCTTCCCAAATATCCATCACCCTTGGAGATTAACTATATCCTGGGATAGGATTTTTCCATAGTTTTTCTCTCTCTTACACCACTGAAAGGAAGATTCATTGTCTGAAAGACTGTCGTTTCTGTCTATGATCCTTTCAGTAGCCAGGAAAATCATAACAGAATTCACAAACATGAAGAAATAGGGTAATGTCATGTCCTTCCTGAGAAACCATTGTATTTTTAGTTGTGTGAAGATTGGCACCTTTCAAAAAGTGTGCAGTCTTTTCTTCATAAAAGGCTGGCAACATAAGCTATGAAAGGTTGCTTGTTTTGTTTCCTTAGGATAAACTAGAAATCTGCATAATAATACCATAAAAAGTCTGCTGCTTGAGTTAGGAACACATGAAACAAAATTGCATGAAACATCAGAACAAGTTCTGAGGCATCTGGTTTTTCTCTGCACATCTGGCTTGTGCAGAGCATACCTGTAAGACACTCATGCCTGGGCTCTGCAATGATTAGATTTTCACCAGGGGAAAAAAGAAAGAATGTTCTATGGTGAAATTATTTGTGTCTAGAAGGAAAATTGTCCAGGCAGGATTGGTGTAACAATGCAGACAAGGAAATGGAGATGTTGCTTTTTACCTACTAAAATGGTTTAGGCTAGAAGTAAAGATGTTGATTGGACTTTTTAATATGTGGTTGCCCTCATGCCAAATAAACTGGGTATTTTCTTTTCTCTCTTAATTGCCATTCTGTGATTCAGAAGTGTTTCTTTTCTCTAAATTCTGTCTCTTAATAACAGAATTTTATTCGAAGTGCTTTAACCTCTTGGTTAAAAAGCAATCAAAGGAATCAAACAGCTTCGAGGTCATCAGCATTTGCTTTTACTTGCTGTTCTGGGAGAACAGAAATAGGCTTTTTTTTTCATATTACTTTTTCTTTTTTCAAAACTGGGCAAGGGTGCCAGTTGCAGAGGCACTGGAAGCCCTTAACTGTAGTGTTCTTAACTGTAGAGATACTACTACAGCTTCTGAGTATTTCTAGCACACTGTTATCTTCTACTTTCTTCCATTCTTAGAGCTTATGCTATTACTTTTTTTTTACTTAGTAAGTGCACAGTTAAATTGTTAAGTGCAGTAAAAGCAGAATGAAACATCAATCAAAAGGTCAAGGATCCAAACCTGAAGAGTTTGCCAGATTACTCTGTATCTGTGCTATTCAGAGACACAGCCAGTCGTTGCTGTTTGGAAGTTTATGTGTGTGTTAGTAGGAGGAGAAAAAGGAAGGTTAAGGTATGTGTGAAGTAAACACAAGCTGCTATAAAGCAGTTCAAGTAGTGTTGATTCATCAACCATACGAGTGGGAGAGAAAACAAAGAGTCAGTGGCAGGTACAGTGGTGCATGGAGAATAAACAGTCATGCAACTTCCGAGCAGTAATCTTAACCGCCTGCAAACACGAAGACTTCGGCACTTCTTTAGGTGGTTTCAATTCCTCATCATCTCTCATTTCATGTTGTTTTGTTTCTTTTCTGTAGCCAGATAGTCCTGCAGGACAGCTCAGTGTGCAAAGTCAGTGACTCAAGTTACACGCACCAGTCATCACGTACTCCTTTAATAATATTTTAAAAAAGGACTTCCATGAAGGTGAATGGATTGATGCATTGATTCATTTTTGGGCTGTAGCTGGATAGATTAGGTAAAGCTATGATTTAGAGTCCTTAGAACTAGCACCCGTATCCTTGTGTAGCTCTAGAGCTGGTTACTAGAAAGTAAAAGCAAAAAACAATTCACATGAGCTGTGGTAAATACAAAATAGGAAGGGGCTTCAAAATAACTTTATTGGCGTTGCAAACTAAATGCAGCCTACAGTGTTAAATGTGTTTCCTATTATCTGCTAATGTCTGTTTTAATAAAACAGTGGGAACTAAATGGTTGCTTCTTAATCAAAACCATGATTTCCTAAACATAAGCTATGTGATTCTGTTACAAATTGCCACATATAGATCTACTAGGTCAAACTTTTTTCCTTTCTCATAGAAATAAATAAACAGTAAATTAATTATACTTTCTAGAAGATCAAAGTAATTACAACCAAAGACAGACAGAAATAAAAAGTTCTCTGGAAAAAAAGAAAAAGAAGAAAAGCATCAGGTTGCTGAGTGCATAGTTAGTGTTTAAATAATATAAGAAAGTGTACAATCAATATCTTGATATCATTAGCAACAGATGTAAAAGCTGTACACAAATGGAATTGTATCAAATCTCAAGTAAACATTCTCAGTGTACATTCTATTGAACTCACTGAAGACAGCTAAGCTACTTCATGCTCATAATTCTAAAAAAGTTTTCAGTTAGTTCAGCTCAGCATGGCGATTTTTTCTTGTGTCAAATGATGCCAGAATAAAATTCTTGAATTTTTTCTCCCACCCTGCCCCATCCCCTTAAGATTTTAAGATGTTCACAGTTTACTCAGCAGCACAAGACTTGGTGTACAGCCAGATTTGGGAATTGGCAGGTGTGAGGATGGAGGCTTTTTGTCTTCTCCTGGCCCTGGGTCTGCCACTTGAAGTGTGTGTGAGGACATAAGGGGGATTATAATAGGATGTCTGCTCTTTCCAGTCTCTTTAGGATACACACGTATATTTGAAGGAGTGCTTATATTAAAACAGTTATAATGGAATGTGTACAGTGGTTGGGAAACAAAAAGCTTAACAGTTCTGCTGTGGACTTCTTGCCCTCTTGGATGTCTGTAATCACTTGAGGTGGTACATAAGCTGTACAGTATGTGTTGTGATTTTGTTAAAAATATGCACCATGAAGTAATTTAATATTACTTACTCTGTGAAGCCTCTTTCCCTTTCTTATTTACTTTTATTTTGTCTCCTTGAGGGATGCGAGACCTTTTAGTACAAAGTTGTGCATACATGACAAGGCTTAATTATGTTTAAACCTGCCTCAATGAGGAATCAGAGATCCCCTTTATTTTTTTACTAACGAATAAATACTAATCAATGACAGCTATAGACCAATGGCTTATTCCAGTGGTTCTCAAACTGCCTTTCTCCTGTGCAGTCCCACGGGGATGCTTCTCTCAATCTGTTAAATGCTCCTCTGATTTCTCTCAAAGCTGAACTTGCTGAGGCTGGGAGAAGGCATTCAGCATTGTTGAAATGCAGGATTTTAATAATTGCTTGAAAGGTTTGCATTGATTTTAAATTTGGTTAACAAATAGATAAAGGAATAAAAACAACACTTTGTAAGTAACTACATGCATGTATATATACATATGTAGGTATGTATGGAGAGAGGTATTTCAGGACTTAACCATGCAATTCAGGTAATTGTCAAGGGATCAGACTCGTACCAGTTACCTACTTGAATCCTGGTATTTTGGGTTCGTAGCATTTTGAATGTATTTTAACTCTCTTTCTCAATAGATATTTCACTTCTAAGTGTTATGCTTTCTATTTTTATCAGAAGGACTATCACTGTATCAGAATTCTTTCACAACTGAAAATCTTAACTGGTGTGAATATTTTCTTTTTGCCTGATGACACAACTTAGCTTGGTGGGAGGAAGTTAGGAAGGCAGCGGGAAGAAATAAATACATTGTGGACTTAAAAATAAAAAGACATACTTTTTTTGTCTGCGTATGAAGAACATGTCATCTTTGCTCCTGCCATCAGTGTCTGTCAAAATATAGCTTTCTGTGGATGTGAGTTTTGAGACTGTGGCTGTCTCAAAGTTTTTGTGGAATGATGTAGCTTTTCAGTTTAAAGGAAGAAGCCTCAATTATTTCGTTTCAACAGATCAAGAATGTAAGAAAAAGCTTTCATAGCTTCCTTAAATTGAGAATCTGCTTTGGCTCCTCTTTGATTCTTCCAATATTACTGATTTGTTGTTTATGTGCTCTTTTATTCTTGAAAGTTTGTTTGCTCACTTCCAATAATGGATAGACAGAGCAATCTGTTTCTCTTTTAATATGTTCCTAGAGGCCAGTGTATGTTCAGAGAGGTTAGAAACAGGATTCAGAAGGGCTCCCAGCTTTCTTGTTTCCAGGCTGAAGGAACTGAGGATTGCAATACAGTGATAATGCCAGTGCGAGCCAGGGGAAAACTG